AAAAAAAACATGGAAGATCTTAGAGTTCAGGGGTGAAAGACAAGTAAACACCAGGATTGGTGGGGGTTAGGAGAAATGATTTGCCTAAATCCCAGAGGGGATGACATCTAAACTTCAATCTAAGGGAAGAGTAGAGACCAGCCAAAGGAAAGAAGAGTAGAATGCATTTCAGGTGAAGTAAGCAGCAGAGGTATTGAATGTCCTCAGAAAACAAACAACAGTGGCAGATGTTACCAGGGGTTTTCCATCTATTACCCTTCTTCTCTTCCCATTGGTCTCCAACCTTTTCTCCTGGTCATGAGAACCTTGGGAATTGTGCCTTTTTGGCCTCAACTTTGCTCTTGGGATTCCAAAGAACGACATCACCTGATGATGGCTCACTTTAAATGTCTTCCATTCGCTTGTTCCGCAGGCCAAGTTCAAGTCCCTGATGGTGGTCAGTACCTTCCAGCTGGGAACTGAGCAGGGCAGTGTCCTACAGCTGACTGAAGCTTCCCGCTGGAGAGAGGTGGGGCTAGAGACCGAGTTTGAGAGCTGTGAAAATAATGATGATGGATATGGGGGAGGGGCACCCGTGGGCTTTTCTAGAAGGAAAGTGTCTCCATCAGGCAGCAGTTGTTGAGTTAGAAATGATAAATTAGGATCCTAGTGTTCCACTGCCTCCATGCCTGCCTCAGTTTCTTTCCTTTAAGTAGAAGGAGGTCATTTATTCTATTTGGGGGCTGGCTTTACTATAATGTGGGGTGAGACTAGCTGGGTTACAGGGTACATGTAGAAAACAACTCCTCTCCCCTTACAGAGCCTCCTGGAGGTGGTTCAGACCCAGCCCCTCCTCATCTCCCTGTGGATCCTCATAGGCAGCGTCCTGGGAGGGTTGCTCCTGCTTGCTCTCCTCGTCTTCTGCCTGTGGAAGGTAAGCACTGCTTCAGTGGAGAGTGGGGAGCATGGTACCCATGTGTTGAGAGATCCTTGATTATAGCAGAGAGAACAGAATTTGTGCTGGGCCACTAAGCAGACTGTGGATGTCATGCCCAGATCTCCTTCACTGGACCCCACAAATGTTGGTTAAATTAACCTAAGCCAAATAAAATAAATTTGAATTCCATTTTTGGAAGCAGAACAAAAGTGAAGACCTCAGATAAGTCTGAGAGCTATTGGCAAGGTTCCCAGTCTAGGCATTTGGTGATGACACTTATCTTTTCCTCTACAGCTTGGCTTCTTTGCCCGTAAGAAAATCCCCGAGGAAGAAAAAAGAGAAGAGAAGTCAGAGCAATGAATGTAGAATAAGGCTCTAGAAAGTCCTCCCTGGCAGCTTCTTCAAGAGACTTGCATAAAAGCAGAGGTTTGGGGGCTCAGATGGGACAAGAAGCCGCCTCTGGACTGTGTCCCCAGACCAGCAGCCTGAGTTGACTTTTGAGTCGTAGGGATGCTGCTGGCTAGTGATGAAGCCTTACCTCAGACAAGAAGAGCTGGCACCAAAACCAGCCATGCTCCCACCCTCTGCTTCCCTCCTCCTAATGATCCTGGTTCCATAGCCAACACTGGGACCTTTGTTTGGGGTCCTTTTATCCCCATCCCCAGGAATCAATAATTTTTCTGCCTAGGTCCCTGACTCCTTTCAGATTCCCTCTTTATCTTCCTTCACAGTTTGGAAAGGATGAGGGTTATCTTCCTCGATTCTTCCACCCTCACCTTCCTGCCTGTTCCCCGCTCCACAGGAGGGAGCTGACGTTGGCTTGACAGGAGTAAAGTCAACATCTGCTGCTTTCCTGTGGATTCTGGTGATTCATAGAGCCGGATGGGGAGTCAACAGGAAAAAAGGAGGGAGGAGGAAAAGCCACAAGAGACATTCTGTACAATTCCAAGGAACAGAGAAGCCTTTAGACGGGCAACTGCCATCCCCCCTGAAACCTGAGAGCTGCGGTGCCCTTGCCCGCCCTCAGGTGTTGGGGAAACAGAGCTGCCCCAGGCTCCCTGGGCATAGGCTTTCTGACTCCAAGCCTTTTCTGGGAGCAAAGCCAGAGCCTGGTGCCTGATTTTCTGAAGCCAGGAGCCCTCAGGTGGCTGGAGCTGGAATAGCAGAGAGGACCAGGTACCTAGGCAGTATTTTCTCTATTTCTCTCAAGTCTTACTTGTGAGTCCTCCTTGGGGCCTGCTTAGAAAGCAGACAGACTCATAGGCAGGTGTTGAACAATTAGAACACGTGGACACAGGGAGGGGGACTAGGGGAGGGACAGTGGGTGGGGGGAGAGGGACAGTGGGTGGGAGGGAGGGATGACTGGGGAGAAATACCAGGTATAGGTGATGGGGGGAGGAAGGCAGCAAACCACCTTGCCATGTATGTACCTATGCAACAATCGTGCATGATCTGCACATGTACCCCAGAACCTAAAGTACAATTAAAAAAAAAAAAAAGCAGAAGAGAGAATACTGCTGCTTTATGGTGGGAAATGCTTTCACTTTACCAGCTTTGAGAAGCAGCAGCCCCACGGAATCTAAACATGTGGGGACTGCATTAAGAAGCCTGCGTGGGTGGGATGGGGCTCTGGGGAGGAAGCCCTTACTTGCTCAGCACTGGTCATATAGCACATATAACTCCTAGGAAAATGTTTCTGGGCAACCCCAGAGCTCCAATCATATTTTGCAGGGTTTCTCTGGTGGAATCGGTTTTCCAGCCCTTGCTTGATATTTACCGGAAATCCCCAAGTTAATTTCTATCTCTGACCCCTCCCCAACCCACTCCACATTTGGGTCATGGCCAGTAAAGGCAGCTGGGTTCTCATAGACAACTGGGTAATTTATTTCTTTGTAATCAGGACTTGAGATATCGAAGTCAGTCATTGGTCTCAAGAGCGCAGCTCTGAGAGCCTTTCGAAGGATCAGCCCTCAGGTAGAGCTGAGAAGAGAGAAGACTTGATTGGGTGGTTGACTAGCAGCCACAGAACCTGTCCTCCCAGGCTGCTCTGGGGCCTGACCGCAGTGTTTATTTTGGCTTGTCCTGTCCTTCTGCAGAGGCCCACCCTCATGGGCATTGTCTCTGTTTCCCAGCAGGGTGGACAGTATATCAGATGGTCAGAACAAATAAGATTCAGTGTCAAATGACTTTTGACTCTATTTGTGTTCCCTGGGATATAGACTGCTCAGTAATGGTGAGAGGTCGATACTTGTTTTGCCTGGAACTTTATAGAGTCCCTGGAAGACAAACTTATGAAGTATTTTAAATGTTTTTTGTGCCTCTCCCACGGGGGATGTGTTCTAGTCTCTTGCAATTTCAGCTACTTAAGTGACCAGAGAGTGTAAAGGTCTGGGAAGCACAGAGGCCTAGATTGAAATCCCACCTGCCATTTATTAGCTATATGGCCCTCAGCAAATCATAACTTCCTTGGGGCTCAGATAGTAATAAAAGCCTGTGTATTACAGTGGTTAACAATGAAGGCAGATTTGGGTTTAAATCTAGGCTATACGACTGAAAAAGTCCATTTGACCTAGGACAGACTTCACTTCTCTAAGTCTTGGCTTTCTCATCTTTAAATCTATTAGGGTCATGAAGACAAAGTAAGATAATCCAAGAAAAGTGAGCATTTAGTAAATTCTCAGTAAATGGTGACTATTATTATAAAACTATTTTGTCATAAAATAATCTACCTTGTCATGCCTTGTGAGGATTAAGGGAGCAAGTACATTGGAGCACCAGGTGGTGTTCCTTCTCTCTGACCCATCTCCCAGACCCTGAAGGTGTGTTTCTTCCATGGGCTACTGTCTCATGCTCATTCCTCCACGCCTACTCACTTTTTTTTTGAGATGGAGTCTCTCTCTGCTGCCAGGCTGGAGTGCAGTGGCGCGATCTCAGCTCACTGCACCCTCCACCTCCCGGGTTCAAGTGATTCTCCTGCCTCAGCCTCCTGAGTAGCTGGGACTACAGGTGTCCACCAACATGTCCAGCTAATTTTTGGATTTTTAGCAGAGACAGGGTTTCACCATGTTGACCAGACTGATCTTGAACTCCTGACCTCACGTGATCTGACTGCCTTGGCCTCCCAAAGTTCTGCGATTACAGGAGTGAGCAACTGCCTCTGGCCTGCCTCATCCCTTTTGAAATAAGCTCTTTGAGCCCTCTAAGGTGGTAATTAGCTGAAGAATTTAAGGTTCTAATGTTAGAGATCAAATCTATTTGATTTCTTTTTTTTTTTTTTTTTTTTAGACAGGGTTTCACCATATTGGTCAGGCTGGTCTTGAACGCCGGACCTCAGGTGATCCGCCTGCCTTGGCCTCCAAAGTGCTTGGATTACAGGTGTGAGCCACCACGCCTGGCCTATTTGATTTCTTTAAGCAGGTATCATCTAGGCTCCTCTTGAGACACCCAGAATTCTTCTAGTATCCTGAGGAAACACGTGCACTTAAGCAATGGCCTTCTAGAGACCAAGTCGCTGCCTCTGTTGCCTAACCTTGAGAACTGTGCCTGTGTGACCTATTTGGCACAAACATCACTCTGTGTTAACCTGCTAAGTTGTTTTGTGACAGGAAAGGGTCCATTGTGACCCTCAGCATGCTTCATACAGGCTGTAACTTGATCAGCCTTTACGGAGTACACTGTTTCTAGGGCTGGGACTGTGACCATATTATGGTGGCAGACTTCCCTCTCCTCTTTAACCTCAGTCAGCCCCCACATGGAGGTGGGCTTCCCTGAGGACTGGTTCATCTAATTCTTACACATATATACATATATATATTTAAAAATTTTTTAGGGGGGGGGTCTCACTATGTTGCCTAGGATAGTCTCCAACTCCTGGCCTTAAGCGATCCTCCCGTCTCGGCCTCTCAACATGCTGAGATTATAGGAGTGAGCCACTATGCCCGCCATCATGTGATTTTTTTATCCGTGTGCTTAAGAGAGTACTTTTAATATATTTTTGCACCTGAGATTCCCCTCCTATCCATCCTCAGCTCCAGAGTGGGGCTTTCTCTAACACCAATCTTGTTATCCCTTTCTTTGGAATAGTATTAGTTTAAGATGCAACTGTGAATTGTTCCTTCCTCTCCTTGTTGCTCCTTTGCTTCTTCATTCATTTTTTTCATTCATTTATTCATCAGATATCAAGCAAGTAATATGTGCTTGGCAATGGTAGTGATATAAAACACAACTCCTATTGTCAAAGAGTCCAGTCTAGTAGCAGAAGCAAACATGTAAACAAATTGGGGCAAATACAGGCTGGATGCAGTGGCTCATACGTTGGGAGGCGAATCACTCCCTCCCAGCCCGGCCAACATGGTGAAATCCCATCTTTACCAGAAATACAAAAACAATTAGCTGGGCACAGTGACGTGAACCTGTAGTCCCATCTGCTTGGGAGGCTGCAGTGGGAGGATGGCTTGAGCCCAGGAAGTGGAGGTTACAGTGAGCCGAGATCACACCACTGCACTCTTTGGAGAATTGTCCCTGAGAGACCATCTCAAAAAGAAAAAAAGACAACTGCAAAATTGTTGCTATATATCAACAAGTACTATCAATGTGGTACAAGAGGCACACTTTGTTGGGGGGGATGGCAGGGCTGTAAGGGAGAACTTTATAGAAAAAGGAAATTTGGCTTGGGGGTTGTTCTGTGCAGGAAATGCTCAAGGGGGAGAAGAAAAGACATATACACACGATACCTGATACCTTTAAGGGTAAACAAGCTTTATCCCATGTAAATGGCAATGCAGATATAATAAGCAAATGATATAATCAATATTATAAGCACATTGATATAAACAAATTATATAATAAGCAAATGATATAACAAACAGATTGAGATAATAAGCAAATTGCAATGGGAAGGGGAGAAGGGAATATATATTTACACTCACCAGACTCTGGAGGATTCACCGCCAGGCTGGAAAGCAACAGCTGGGGCTCCAGAGTCGGCCACTCTGTGCACAGACCAGGAGAGGGCTCATGAAGCTGCAGCATGGTGTGGGAGCCTAGCTTTTTCTGCAACAAGTTGATTGGCATGAGGCCCAGTCACGAGAGCCCTTCTCAATTGGGCTCAAGGAACACCAAAAGGTCAACCTGTTGTTGCAGTTGTCTATTGTGTTTCAATAACTAACGTATAGGAATAGACTGAAATGGAGATTTCTCCAAAGCAGCGCTGGATGAAAGCCTCAAAGAGGCTCACACAACCTGTTTCGGGACTTAGTGACCATTGTTTGTGTCCACGTTCAACTGAGTTCAAATTTAATATTTAACTTTTCCTCCACATTCGGTCTCAATCTGATACTCAATTATAGGAAAATACCCTTACAGATACATGGGGAAGGCACAGTTGATATAGATTACAGATACAGGGTCACACAGGAGAATTAAAGGCACAATTAATAAAAACCACACCCACCATGGCCAACACCAATGCGAGCTGGATAGCCAGTCCATGATGGGGCCCTGATGGTTAGATTTCAGCTTGTACTTGTTTTTGCATGTCTTGGGCAAGGAGAGTAATATTGTGAGAACTGTCAGGGATATTTACACAACATTCAGTATGCAGTAAGGCGCAAAGCCCTCCTTGGGCTGCGATGAGCATATCTAATGCCATTCGAATCTGCACCACGACTGTACGCAGCTGATCAAATTCTTCTGATAACAACATAAGTCCAGTGCTACTATCATTAAGAGCTTTTCCTACATGTAAGCGTAATGTTATAATTTGTTACTGAAGCAGGATTGTACGGGCAGCACCACTGTCATAGGATACCACCACTGGGGAGTCCGGCGCATTTGTAACCAGCGATGTCTGTAGGCATCTAGATTACTGGCGAGGGGAATATTATCCCAGATGGCGAATGGAATTAATGGCACCCCCGAGTGCATCTCCCTGTCCAAGAGGTGGCAGGTATCGCCACCCGTAGGATCTGCAAACCCAGAGAGCCTCCCCAGGGAACAGGAAGAGTTCTACTATAATTGTATTGCCGTAATGTGTAATTTAAGTAACAAAGGTGCTGTGGGCCCAGCGTGGTGGCTCACTCCTGTAATCCCAGCACTTTGGGAGGCCAAGGTGGGTAGATCATTTGAGGTCAGGAGTTCAAAACCAGCCTGTCCAACATGGCGAAACCCCATCTCTACTAAAAATACAAAATTAGCCGGGCGTGGTGGTGCATGCCTGTAATCCCAGCTACTCGGGAGGCTGAGGCAGGAGAATCGCTTGAACCTGGGAGGCGGAGGTTGTAGTGAGCCAAGATTGTGCC